TTAATGAATGACTCTCAAATCAATGTGATATATATGATTTAAAGATAATTCATCAAACTATATGTTGTTATTACCTACTTTGACTTTAAAATAAGAAATAAATACTTTAAACTACATTGAATATTAATAAAGGGCTGATTAAAACACTAAATTCAAAGCAAAAGCTTAACAATTGCCGCCATTTTGGATTTATGCAAATAAGGTACCCTTCCCAGATAATTTTCAGGTGTCACCCCTTCTAAATATCTTTCCTAGGGCCTAAACAATGTATCTGCCAAGTTTGGTGCTTTGGACCAGTCGGTCACGATCTTGTCGAAAAATGGACCTAAGCCACCTGACTATTGGCTGTTTTGCAAAAGAGTTCACCAAACGGTAGCATGGGGTGACCTTGGCAAAATATTTTTTCTCCATGGTGCGTGGCCATCAAGTGTCCCTATTCTTTCATATGCTTCGCTTGCCGCCCCTGCGCCGAGTGCAACGAATACTCAGAAGGACCACACATTAGTATGCCTTGCGCGGTCTGACCAATCGAAAGTCTACACTGCGTAGTACTTCCAAGCTATGCGTAAAACCGTCGATGGCAACGCGTACTGCAGCCTGCTACACACCCTGGAAACGAGGTTGGGTCTATGGTGCTCGCTATTTGCAGCACAAGCATGTGACGTGATATAGTGCTCTGTTGCTTCCATCATGTGTTTACAGCTCCATGCATCCACCAAGGCTGACCGTTGTGTGAGTTCGCTGCCCGCCACGTATAATTCAGTGTCGCGTTATAATTTCAGGGGCCTGTTTGGGATCAACGAAGGATCGATGCATTGCTTCAAATACCGCGATCTTAAACGCAGTCACAAAAAAAATCGACAAAATAGTGTCCGACCCGGTGGAAGACACCCTCCACATTTTTCCACGGACGTGAAGCCGCGGTCTCGGATCCTTTCAGGAGCAAACATTTCTCGGAGGCCGAGTAAAACTTGCTCTTTATATAGATGGTTGAACCAACTTAAATAAAAGTTGAATTGACTTTTTCCTCCGCAGACGGTCTCGCAAATTGTAAGAAGTTCAAGTTTACGTTTGTTGAAGAGTCCAATAGAAACTTAATTATGACCTTCCTCCATGATTCAGACTGTTTGTAATTTTATGGTAACACTCAACACTTTCATTTCAAATGACACCTTCACGTTTTATTGCATTATGATTTATTGTCAAAACTGTACAATCAGCCTTCGCCCGTGCACTACAGTAACCTTTTCACTACGTTTTCCAAATGCGACTGCCTCACGAATGCGACTGATTCTATTGCTCAGAATACATGTAGCTGATTCAATTACTCCAAACTCAAAACTTTAAAAGATGATCTTCTGCTCAAATTGGTTTTAGTGGTCAGAAATTGCCTCAGATCACACCACAGAAATTGCTTTACTATAACTGCATGTCTCCCAACTATATCCCCCATTTACATTTAACTCCCCACATTTTCATCCCCAACACTACGCCCTACCCGATCTATGATCGGGTAAATCAGCTTGTGAAGTTATAATTGTAAAAAATCATTCCACATGTTGGTAAGATATGTTATCTTGTAATGAATTTCACCTGATAAAAATACATGTAAACCAGCCAAACAAACTCATCAGTGACAGTGACTGTATGTCTTATGCAACCTACCTTTTTGGTCTGATCAAAGCGCAAGGAACAGATACAATGTACATGTGTGCAGGAGTGAGTACTGAACACTTCCAAAATAAGATACTTTTACATCAACGCCGCGCCAAGGGATTTGACAACAAACAAACGTGTGGTGAGAGTGATAATAGATGAACATGTAGGAAACCATCTGCTGCTATGACATCCTGGCTATGCTCAGGTCAAATATCTATAAACAAATGCCTTGCTGCACTTTCATAATATTGATGCACAAATGTCAAATAAAACCTTAAGGCAACAAATACTGAAGAATACACCTGTACTCACCTGCTTAGCAATGCAAGGTTTTGTGGAGTGCCGATGCCATGTATTTAAAAGTTCATTCATGATTGTGTTGTCTTCAAAACAGGCGTATGAATGATGATGTACATGTTCTTTGTCTTGGATTTGCATGCATACTTACTGGCTGCCTGCACATGTAAGGAAGTGACTCTGTCTGATCAATTGAATTTTTAACCAGTCATACAAAAATGGTCTAGTTTGCTAATAAAATGAGACTTTTTGTAATGAGTTACGTGTAGGCCTATATGTCTACCATATATGTCTACACATAAAAACATTGATGTATGGCTTATATATTTTTTTGTACGGGTACTTTCCTGTTGATGAATTGTTGGACCGGACTGTATTCTTGAATATGAATTAGGCACTTCTTGCATCTTACTTTACACAAGTATTGTTATCCATTGTGCTAGGCATAAAGATTGACATACCGGTACATGTAATGTATCAATTATAAATTTGAATGTCATTCATTCAAAAGTGAAATCTTTTTACATCTCCTAGTTACTCTGGGCTGAATTTCATGTGAAATGGCCCATTTATGCTCATAACTGACAATTTTATGTGTACAGTGTTTATTTTGTAAAACTTACAAAGTACTTTTTTTGGTTTGCATTGAAATACATGTACTTGTATAATCTTTTAAGCACTGAAATATTCATTATTTGAATATTGCTCAAATTTAGGTTTAATGTAATGTGAAATGTACTGAACAGTTCATCAGGACATTTGACAGCTTTGGTGTGGAAAAGGGGATGGCGTGTGAACTTCAGTCACACAAACTATTTACATGCCATCCTTGAATTGAAAGTTGAGATTATTATAAGACAAATACAAGGGCCATTAGAAATCTGTCGCACCTTTCCAAACCAATAAAGAAATGTTTTGTACATCCACTGCTGAGTGCTGATGACATACAAACTTCAGCAATATTTTTTTACTGTGGGAGTGTGAAATAAAGTGTGAACAATTATTCAAGATGTAGATTCAAGATAAAGATCTCTTACAGTATGAGTGGTGGATGTAGTGGTTGTGACCTTTACTTGCTTTTAATGCATATTACACTGAAGGTAGTTAAACAATGTAGGCTGTTGTAATGGTAGTGTGTATTGTTTGCTGTGGTAATGGTGGTGGTAGTCATGTTAGTGATGTATACCATGTAGGTGGCCTGGTCCATGACCCCTTGCATTTAGGATTGTTCCCTTGAGCTCTCTCCATCTAGCTGACACTGATGGCTTACACAGGTGCTCCCACTCAATGCAATTTGAACAATTTGTTACAGGCACTGTGATGCACACTGACCAATCTATTAGGAAGAATGCTTTGGAAATGTGAGATATTGGTATTTATGTGTACTGATTGAAATAGGGCATAATGCATCAGTATTCATTGTCCTAGATCATGTGATTATATGTGCTCTCTATGTTCATTTGCATTAATTATCACTGTTATTCCAAATGTTCTGAGTAGTACTGGTAGTTATTGTGCACAGTCTACTCTGTCCAGGTTACGTGTGATATTCTTGAGTGAATTTTACCGACTCAATCAGAACCAGAACGTGTACTTGAAGTTGAACCACAGTATGCCACAGCCTATTGTAAATCATTAAAATGTCATCCGGTAATGTGACATTACAATCACTGGATCACCTTATCAATTTGATTGAGAGATGGGGTGTAACATCAAAATGGCTGACAGACAACTCTAAAACTAGAGGGGGAGGGGTGGGGTTGGACACCATCTGACTTACTATAGACCATTATCATGTTGCAGCCATTGATTTTTTCCCATTCAAATCAATGTAACCAAAGCGAGGCTGGAGGGGAAAATAGTCTGGTTCCTTTTTGCACAAAAACATTATCATTCAGTACTGTTATTGGATACAGGGAACATGACTAAAATGGTGGAAGCATTATATAGGTCTACTAGGGATGCTGCTCAAACTCAAAGTCAAAGTGGATGACACTGGACACTATCACCATCAGCCAGTACATGGCATCATTGGATGCGGTCTAGGGACGTCTAATTGTATATTGCTAAAGTATCAGATCCAAGTCAGCTCGTGTAGCATACGCAACATTATGAGAATATTACACAGTCACAGGTTTACTCTTTCTGTGTATTTTGTTGACAATTCAATCAAAACAACCAAGGAATATCATGACAATATAGGCCTACAAGTAATACCATAATAACTACATTGTAAAATAACTAAATTATATGTGTATTACGAGTGTAATTGTCTTATGTTCATTTTTTAGTCTTTGAATAAGGGAGTAAATGTGCTCTGGAGTGGTTTTAAAAACTCTGTTTAAAACTGGTTGGGGTCTGGATGCTGATAATTACCCGAGCCGAATCAGTTATGCTAGTTATTGTGCTTGTCAATATGTGATGCGATCAAGCTAAATAAGTCGTTTGTCGGGAACTTTCATTTGGAGATACAGGCCAAAATAGGGCCACTTCATCACATGACTTCATCACATCTCTTGGTGTTCCGACTTCCATAATTTTTAACTAAAGATGGTATCAGCGTGCGGTTTTCACTGTTGTAATGCTGAGATTGTGCTCTTTTCAAATCTCTAAAAAAAGCAAAATTGACCAGGGTCGACAAACGACTCATTTAGCTTGATCACATTTACCGATATTATTAGCAGCATTGTATATTGGTGTTGAAACAGACATGCACAATATTACAGGTAAAGTAATAGGATTTTGTTATAGTGTGGAGAGAAAACAAATGTCACGGTAAAAGCAATTTGTGGAGAGCTTTAATGATTACATCTGTAGATTAGGTAGATAAGGGCATACAGTGTGTCAGACCATAGAGCAAGGAACAATGGCATTTTGTTCTTGAAAGATGCAAGTATGCATTAGTTATGGTACCCCCCTACAAAGAAATGAGTTGACCTCATACAGCCTGGCATTGCTTTGTGCAGAGTCTTGCTCCCACACTACAGGGAGCCAGCCAGGCAGTGTAGCAGCATGCTGGGGCTAATGTGTAGGCATTTCATAGATTGCCGTGTTACTGCAAACACTCTGTACTGAGGCTTGAGAGTGGTGCCAGCATGGATGCAACTAGCAGCGCCGGCCTCAAATAAAACGCAAAACCATTTCTTTCTCTGAGTGATCATGTATGGTGTATGATGATTCTCAAGCAGAGGATGTGTACATGAACATGTATGTAGTGGAATTGTCTTGTGGAGGATTGTAAGTGGTAATGTTGTGGACTGTGCAGTAATCTGTGACAACCTAAGACTCTGTCACAACGTACAGTGCACATGAAGACAACAGACGCTAGTCCTGAGTACTCTATACCTGCAAGCTTTGTTGAACTACGGCCAGACAAGAGTCTGTGAACTAAGAACAATTGTTATTAAATCAACACTATGAAGCATCATTGGACATCTGCAAATGACACAAAAAAGACCAACAGATCAAGTCTGCTGGGACTATCTGTCTTGCTATGGAAATGTTCACTGATATCAATTGGTAAGTACAATTGGCACGATTGGCCTTAGTGAAACTGCCCTAATAATTAGTCTGAAGTGTTGTTTCAACTGCAGCCTCTTGTGTAATAGCAATGAAAATCAGCGTTATCTGTTTATGTTGTGTGGGAGCTTTTACAAGAAGAGATTATGGTCAAATTCCCCCTCCTTTTTGGGGGGTAGTGTATTAGAAGGATGATGTAAAATTCGAGAGTTTTACCTGTAGGCTGTACAGCATGTATAGCATCATAAATTGTAGGTCAATATATTTTCCAAATGTAGAGAATTAATATATTACATTGATTCATTGATTAAGGATGTAATATGTATCACTGGCTGTTGACTGTCCACATGACTACCAGAGAGAAGACAAAACAATCACATTACATCTTACGTGTACCTACAATGTAGGAACATGACCAAGAGTATCAAGAATATGAGAAGGATGCAGTTTAGATCAGATGATGAGATGAGTACACAAAGAAGTTCACTAAGTGAGGAGAAAATTCAACCTATGGAAAAGTCTTATTTGTTTTCAGTTCAGTTTTCTGTTAACTTAGTGAAAAGAGCCACTCTCTCTATGAAATCCCTGTCAATCTTAAACTTACATTAAAGTAAATGACAACTACATGTACATTGTACATGTGCATACGTACATGTACATGTACATACAATTTGGGACAATTGTGGTTTGTTGGAAACTTACAAATGTTCGTGCTATTCATTTTGGAATATCGCAGCAAATATAACCCTGTATGAAAAAAATCACTGCAGACAGTTTGGCTGAAAACTTGGTGTCTTAGATTCAAGATGCAGTTTCAGTGATAAAAATGCTAATTGTTAGAGTTACAGACATACAATGTACACTCGCATTCAGGTGTGGTCCTCTCACATAAAATGTATGGCTTTGTTGGGCACATTCAGTTGAATATGGGCCAAGCTCACAACGTAGTAGCGTTGTGACAATTTAGTCATGGACCTCATTGGTAGCAAATAGGGGTATTCGTGTATTACTATTAGGTTCCTTTCTGACAGGTTACTGTTAAATTTACTAATATTGATCATTTATTGACCTTGCTTTTCTCTTTCTTTTTGGTCTTTCTGTTTGGCATGTAGTCCAATCTTAGTAATCGGAAAGCATGTGTTATGGAAAGTTTGCTGTGCTGCTTCAATTGTTTTTAGTTCAAGAAGTCGTCCTTCAGAAGTAGATGAGCAGTGAACACAGTTAAACTTGCAAAGACCTTGAGTTTAGTGCATCCTTGACATAGATTCACAGAGGGGCAATTCCATGGTACATGTACAATGTAACTCACGTCACATTTGGAGGGGGTCTTCCATCCACTCTGTGCTGTATGCTATAAAGTCAAAGCATTCGGGGTGGATTTTTCTCACAAAAGATCCCTTGAAGTTAACTGGTTCAACTGCAAAAGAAAAAGGTTAACATAATAAACTTCTGTTGGTTTTGCAATACATTTTTTATTGGTAACTCACGTTACACAAAAAGGACATGGAAAGCATTGAAATCCCTTGCATTTAAAGGTTGTCCTCATACTGTGCACTGATGGAACAGTCTTTGTAGTGTCCTTACATTATCAGGGTATTTAGTCATATTCTACCTTTACAATATTATGAAATAATCAAGAATAAAATCTCTAGAGGGATATATTTCAGTGACTCACATTACGATAACTCACGTTACAGTTTATCTGCCCATCTTTGGTACAAGTTCAAACAGTTAAGAAACTAATAATCAAACAAAAAACTTCAATTGGCATAGATTATGAACCCTTTTCTCTTCCTTAAAAACTAAAACTCGCAATAACACAAGTTGCATTTTGCATGTGACAACAAGATGCCAACATGACTACCTAACATCCATAATTTTAGCCCCCCCAAAAAGGATTTTTTTTAAATTAAAAATACACGTAACCATATTCCATCTCACTGACACATCACTCAAATAAATGGTCTTGTCCTATTTTCAGCCTGCATTGGTCTTTGATAATCTGTGCATTATCTGGCCTTTGGGTGTTCTTAATAATGTGTAAATTATATTTAACATTACCAGCCCCTCATTAAGATTTGCTTTGTTGACTTATGTGCATACCACATTTTTCAAAATGAAGTGAATTTTCCCAAGGATTTTGATGTGAAGCAAATAGACTTGGCATTTGGTTACAGTGTTTTCATGCATTCACCTTGCACACATGCTGTATATTCTAGACCCTGAGTTGTGCTGTTCAATGCTAGTGTCATTAGGTGAGTAATGCCCAGGAGAATTTCTTGAAGCCTTGCATGTGGCCTGATTGCTAATCACATTTTGTTTTCTCTTGGCTACCTTTCTCTGCAGTCTAAACACCTGAAATCAATGTGGTTTGTGGCATGTTTTGCTTAGCTAGCCATGAAGAGACAGGTGGACTGGCTTACCTGGTCTTATGATGAGTGTGGGCTCACTAATTGATTGACCTAGGCATCAGTAGCCTGCAAGGCTGGATAGCCAACTCCCTGGTGCCTCTATGTCCAGGATTTCTGCTCTATGGTCTATCACAGTCTGCTCACATCACAAGATGTGCTTGATGCGTTCAATCTGTGCAGACTTTATGAACAAAGATTTGAGGTTGCTCTGCATGCATAGATGTCAGCATCACTGCAACTGCCTGGGTTTGTCATGAGATGTCGTACTCAACATCTGATTGTGTTTTTCCATCCACAGTCTTGGCACCTGTCACATGCTGATTTGTCTAAGAGGTTGAGGGTTCTACTCATGTTTCTAAAAGAAATAACACTGCCATTTCCATCAGGAAATGTTGGAGATCAGTGGGATGTTTTTGTACAATCACAGGACAGTGAAGCTAGAGCTTTTGTTTTAACAACCGTGTAAAGTACTGTGGCTGTAGAGTGTATTTCGTATGCGTACAACCTAAAAAAAAAGAAGCAAAAACAAAAATACAAGTGAAGAAGGGGAGGGGGAAGGATTGTACTAGTTCTGTTGACTTAACAAATTTTAAATTGTGTTTGCTTGAAATGAAATAAAGAAGATTTAAATTTGTCAAATTTGTAGAGTTAAATTCAACAGGAAAACATTATTTTTTACACAATCAAACTCACTTGTTTTTCTTTCTGTTTAATCACAATCAGATGAATCTGATCAAGGATTGTACAGTTTACTTGGACCTTTTTTTACAATGAATGACTTCAAAATTGGCACTACACGAAAGACATGAAAAATGTTACCACTTACAGGCATGCAACTTTTCCTCAGATCCGCTGATTTCCTCGATTTTTACTTCTCATGAATGACATTACAAATTGAAAAATACTGTACAAAGTATTGTGTAGTTTGGAGTTTCCTCGTTTTTTCTAAATTCCCAGTTGCATGCCTGCACTTAAGAGAAGTGTAAGAGATTGCTAAGATACCACAGGAGCCATGTGCTCATGAATGTATACAGGGATATCTTGTATTGATTGCACTAGGATGTTTGAAACAATAGGCTGAGTGCACCTTACAATCAGGAGTCAGACATGTACACTTGTAATGTCTAGGATGTGCTTGTTGTGTGCTGTGGCAGGAAGGAGTTTCATTCTCTTGTCAGCTGTTAGTCCATGTTTCAATGCAGCAAGGACAGTGGGGAACGGGGCAGACAAATGACATGAACAAGAAATACATGTACATGTACTCAAAATACAATGTAGATCTGTGACCTTACACAGGATGTACTCATAATCATATGAAGTGTCCAATATGGTTGAATAATATCTGAAGTACATGTATGTCTAGAAAACCCCAAATTTGGTTATAAATATTTAAGATGGTGGGAAAATGTACATTTGTACATGAACATGTACAGACTTATTCATGTATATGAATACATGTACAATTGTAAAATTGATTAAAAAGAATCATTTAGTACATCTCAATTTTAACACATTTCAAAGTTGCCTGATATTTTATGAACATCAAGTTATTTGCACACTTGATGTATAAGTACATTACAGTACTACAGTGCCTGGACATGAGACAAGTTTTCCCAATCAAGCGGTTAAATCCTAGGCTTAATGAGACTTGTTAAATGTGTGTACATGTAGCTCGCACTTTAAAACTAAAAAGGAAGGTTTTTTTATGGTTAATTTATCTGGTTACACTTAACTCCATTTTGCTGGATGAAGTACGGAGGTTCATACATACCGTACCATATTTGCCTCTCAATGTTACATTTTTATTGAATTCACTTTAGTCATGCATGTCAAAGTGATTCCCTTTAATCATTTAAAATGGAGAGACTTCTTAACAAACTGTAATTACTGCAAACTACCGGTACGTTACATTTTTATTTTGTACAGCAAAAACACTTAAGTCAAATAATCTTTGAAATTTTATATTGCAAAACGTTAAGTTGCTTCACATGTTGTGATGCCAATCAAGGAAACTCACTCAACCTTTTGTAGTAAATTGTGTAATATCTTGTATCCAGTCGATACTTGCACATATTCATGTACATGTAATTCACATCTTTTCTTTTTTGTTTAATATACTATTGAAAAGAATAAATGATTAAATATGAAGCAACAAGATATTTGTGGCATTGGCATTTTGCATGAAGCAAGAAAATAATGAATTATTATGGGTAAATTTGTGTATAATACTGAATGTTACATGAATTATTCTGTATATGGAATGGTCTTTGTTCTACATTCCAGGAACCTTGTGTGCACTGATAGAGTTTCCTTGAACAAGCTTATTATAGGACTAGTAATTGATAGATAATGGAATTAAACTAATGAGAGTGTGGTTGAGGATTGGTTCAGTCATTGCCTGATGCTAAGTCCCATGCTATGTGCACATACTTGCCTATGGTGCAGTGTCAAGACAGTAGGATTGACTTAGTGATGGACAATGTCAACACTTTTGTGTGAATAAGTCTAATGGCTAAGTGATGTTTAATCTAGCGTGTGGCCAGGGTACAGGTTTAGACTAGCAGTTTCTTGCAGGCCAGGCAGTGTTGT